AGGTTCTTACCCACGAAAGCTTATGCTCCCAATACTTCTGTTAGTCTTAAAGGTGCCACAGGACCCTCTGTTGCTTTTTACAGATTCAGACTAACACGGCTACCCCTCTGATACTTGATGTGGAACTATGTAAATCTAAAGCAGTCTAAGTTTATAACAATTTAGAATCAACTCCATTAGACTCTCACCCACTTTCCAATGTATAAATTACACTCCTTATACATCACCTCTGAATTTGGGCCACTGAATCTCAGAGAATCTAAATTGGTATAACTTATACACAAGGGGTGTGAAGAGATGAAAGAAAAATGCTTACTAGGAGGGTCAATCTAATTAGTTTTAAATTAACTTTAAGGGTACTCTCTACTTATTCACACCTTCTTTCATCTCCTTGATGTGTATTATACACCATCTTAGACTCTCACAGTTAGAGAAATGGAGCCAAACTGAGAAATGATATGTAAGGATATGTAATTTATGTCAGTAAGTAGATTGAGTTTCAAAGAGTCTAATTTTCGCCAAGGGAGTGTGAGCAGAAATCCGAAATGATGTGTACATTAGGCCTCCTTAGACTAATTTAGTCTCCCTTAGACCTACTTACACATATTGTATTGATGTCTAAGGGTGTTTAAATTGGTCTCATTTACACATGGAGGGAGCTGGAAGATCAGTGATTTACACTAGACTCATCTCTGAATTTGGCTTGCAGTCAAAGTTTTTCTTGGCATTTTTTTAAACCTATCATTAAGATCTTAATTCTATACCATTACTTCTAGTGAAAATAGAACCATCAAAAATTTACCACAGATCTCCTATTTTATCAGTATAAGGGAAAATGTGGTAAATTTTGTGGTAATGTCTTTTGTAAATGTTGTTTTTTTTAATGGCAACCCCGCAATAAACAAGTAAAAAGCTCTCAGTTCTTGGTATTCAAATACCTGTAGATGATTACCATGTTCCCAGTCTCTGCTTAGGTATTTCTTAGCTAAACTGTATATTTTATCACTTTTAATCTTTCCTCAAACCCTCCCGTCCCCAGTCTGTCATTTTTGTTGCTCTTTTCTGAACTCCTTTCAATTTGTCAATATTTCCAGGTGTTGAGATATTCAGTTTTGCGAATCATATTCATTGAGTAGTAACACCAGGACCAGATGGAGTAGAGGGTGATTCCTTTCTGCTTCATAATTTAAAGACACAGCTTTCCCCTCCCTCCTTCCCTCCCCCAGCCAGAGCACATAGCAACCACAATATCTTGCTTACTGCACCACTATCATCCATATGTCTCTTTTGGCATTTCTTTTTCCTAGTTTTCTTCTTCATTCACTGTTGAATTAGTATTTTCCACCACGGGCTATAGTAACGTATAATTTTCCCATGTTGAATCTATTTTTATTTCGCACCAATATTTCTAAACTTGTAGGCCTTCTTTACTATTTCTCTGTGCTCACTGGTGTTCAGAACACTAACAGGGTATTCTCTCCAAATCTCTTCAACTTGCTGTCCCTCAACCTCCAGATAATTAAGGAAGATATTTAATAGCTAATCTGTTCATCCATCCACAACTGATCCATTGTTCCATCATGCTAATGCATATTTATCAAAGTATGCAGTGAATAAGTCAATTACTCAATCCATCAGTCAGTTCTTATGTCATTGTTTGATGGATTGCTCCACCAGGCTTTCTATTAAACCCATCCATTGCCCTGTCACTCTTTAATTGAATCAGTACATATAGGACCATCCGTTCAGCCATCCACACTTCAGCTTATGTGAAGATACACATTAACTTTGTTCCTTATCAGGTATTGATAATATCAGGGTATGTCTACACTACGGGATTAATCCGAATTTAGATAATTCGAATTTGGGAAACAGGTTGTATAAATTCGATTGTGCGCGGCCACACTAAGCACATTAATTCGGTTTTTAACCACATTAATTCGGTGGTGTGCGGCCACACTACCCCATTAATTTAACCACATTAATTCGGTGGTGTGCGGCCACACTAACCCTAATTCGAATTAACAAAATCGATTTTGGCGCTACTCCGCTCGTCGAGGTGGAGTACAGAAATCGATTTTAAGTGCCCTTTAATTCGAATTAACTGGCTCTGTAGTGTGGACGGGTGAAGGGTTAATTCGGATTAACGCAGCTAAATCCGAATTAAAGTCGTAGTGTAGACCAGGCCTCAGTAGCTGTCCTGTTTTAAGAGAAATGTGGAACTCTGACCTCTTTTTGCACCCTACTTTCCAGCAGCTCCTCATTTAACAATATCTTTTCTGCTCCCTTTCACAATCTCCACACTGTTGGTGTGAGATCCCTTTCCCTTCCATTTCCTGCTGTCTGAGATTATCTTCTCTTACTTCTCTGCCTCATTCATTTGCTTTTTTCTCAGATGTCATTTAAAAAATTTTTGCTTGCCTATACCTGTTCGTTTCTCTCTTCCTCTGTTGTTGGCTTTATTATCGAATTCTTTAACTTATCTAGTGTCTATTAGGATAGTATTTTGGGATACCATTAGTATGAAAGACTATACAAAATAAAGGTGTCTGATTTCAGCTGGCTTAAAAAAAGTGTTTAATTTTAAATAAATTCATTCATATCTCAGTTGATTATAGTTACTACCTATTAGTTGTGCTGTGCAATGTTACTGTTGGCTAGTAGTTTAGACAGATAAATATTTACCTTCTTAACAAGAAAAAGTTACCGCTCAGAGAACACACAGGGATCAGATCTGTTCAGTAGTAAGATCCCATTCTTACCCTGTCACTTTTCTGACTATAACCACAACTCAGTATAGCATTCATGTTAATTTTTGCACTAGTTATATCTCAGAGTAAAGAAATTATGGCCACTAATTTTAATAACACTGTTAACCCCCACTAATACTTGTATCTGAACTGTCCTGATGACAGCATTAAGAAAGTACAGTGTACAAGTGGTATTTTGTTTCTTCAAAATGGTGTGGAATCCTTTCCTCTTCCAAGATTCCAGCTTGAGTAACTGGATAAAGCTAGAAAAAAAAGTCGAGAGTTAAGGTGGTCTATGTTACCTTCCTGGCAGCCTTCCATATCTCCCTTTTGCATCAGGAGGTAGGGTGGAGACTCAGGGAAGAATGGGAGAGTGACCAGCTGCACCGATGCTGCGATTCCACTGATAGCCATCAGTAAAGGCCACAAGGATTCAGTTCCTAAAAGTTCACTAGAGAGCATAGGTTAAAACAAGACCCAAAAGAACCCCAAACAGTTCTGGGAAACTTACCAAATGTTTTTGAGTGATAAATGGGGAGACTGAATTAAACTATATGGGATAACAATGGATAACTAAAGAATGAATAGAAAGATACCCCTGCCTCTGGCCGCAGACATTTAGATGTGAAGATAAATATATTTATTTTACCTTAGTCCTGCAATTTGTCCTAAGCATTTCCCCATGTTTGCAAAAAGAGAGAGAGTGGCACTTGTAAATCCACGCAGCTTCTTAGGGGAAATTTCTCCCAAATACTGGCCATGTAAACAGCAGCCCAAACCTTGAATAGGGGAAAAGAGGAAGGACAAGTTTGTTTAAAAGAAGGAAAATGTAACTGAAGTCCCACTGAAATTAGTTTTGCCATTAACTTTAATGGAAGTAGGATCAGTTCTGTGGCTCCATATCACAAACTAATGTTAAAAGGAGGATTCTTCTGTCTGCGTGGAAATTAAGAAAGACCAAAACCCTTTTTAAAATAAAAAAAGAGGATGAATTCTGGTTTACTCTTTAAAAAGTAAGAAATCTAACTGAAGTTGTTCCTATATTCTGTGTAGTCAAACTGAGATGTAATTTTGATAAACATACATAGGGATAAAAGATATAAGAGGCAAACGGTTTCAGTCTGGGCAGGATACTAGCAGTACAAAGTGAATATTTTATTTATTTATTTATTTTATTATTTGCAAGCCTGCAATATTTCTGCTGTCAGCTTTATTGCCTATTTTTTTTAAAGTTCCCTCTTCCAAAGCGTTTTCCCTTAGCCTGGAATATTATTATGTGGAAAACAGTCTCAAGCAACCAAATGCATTCTCTTATTTCTCTCTCTTAACCCTTTTATCCCATATCCTTTGGGTTATCATCTCTTTTCTTTCACCCTATAACAACTTATTGACCCCTTTCATTTTAACACTTAGGAAAATTGATCCTGCCTCTGGTTTACAGCCTTGCAAAAGCAGGGGGATCCCAACTGATTATTATACAAGTAGAAATCAAACACAACCTACCTGAATTAAAACCACAAAGGAAACGTCCAATCAAAATCATCTCAAAGGACTTTGCCATCTTACTGAAGCCCCAGAAAAATGCAGCTGCTATCAGAAGCAGATTATTGAACGTTAGACATTTCTTTCTGTAACAGCACATAAGAGACTTTCATAAAACTGGCAACACCATCTCTCTTGCTTTCCCTAAATACCCTCTTTTTATCCTCTGAATATACAGATAGTGGTGACTTTATCATTGAATCGAGAATTTGCAAGTGGGACCTAGCAGTTGCTTATGCCGTGCTGTTGAGTCATTACTTAAATTGATATTGAAATTGGTGTAATCTAAGTGTAAAGTGGACTATTCCACTGTATATGGGAGCACTTCAGTCAGGTAAAGCAGAGGCGGTAATGAACATTTTGAAATAATATTTCTTCAAAGATACCCATCCCAACAGATCTCCCACTCATGGATCTGTGCTGTTTGGTGGGAATTCTTTAAGTTCAAAGTTCTGAGATTTTGGTTTCTCTAAGGGTATCTGGCACTATCCCTGCGGAGGAACCCCACAGTGCTCACCTAGACAGTTCCTTTCTGAACACAGTTTGTGAAGGAGCTCCTCTGGAGATTGCTTCCCTGCTGTTCAGCTGCACTACAGCCTAGCTCTTTTTGGACACATCCCCTACAGTTAGTGTCTGTATCCTTTACCAGTGTTTGAATGCCAGCCTTCTTTATTTAAAAAGAAAAAATATCGAGGCACTTACTCATACCTGAATTAGGTCGCCAACAATCCTGGCAACACCCATGATCTCCACACCTCCTCAAACATTTTTTGTTTCCTCTTCATTTTTATTGGTGCTATCTGTGCTGATTAATGACCCTCATTGATGCTAGCAGCTATGCTGTGTCAGTGAACTTTGACCCATTCTTTTTTTTTGGCCTTTTACTCTTTTGTGCCTTCCTCCTCCACCCTTCCTCTTATGCCTGCTAAGGGGAGAAGAATCCCAGCAACTTCAGGAAGCATTCTTAATGCAGTCAGATCTCATTCCCCAAGGACATGAACATTTAGCCAGTTTTGGAAGGAAGAAGGCTAGGGATGATTTACACCTGGTTGCCTTGGGTGTATGAGTCCTCAGTATTATCTAGTAGGGACTATAACATCTGATTGACAGAAATTCTCAGGGGTGAAAGTAGGCCGGTATGGTGTACCAGTAAGAAGCCGGTACCAGCCGATATGCAGCCAACATTAAAGTGCTGCCGCAGGGCTGCCGACGTGTGGGGGAAAGGGGCAATGCCCCAGGGGTGGCGATTTAAAAGGGCCTGGGGATCCCGGCCGCAGCTGCTGCTACCGCGGCAGCGGCTGGAGCCCCGGGCAGCGCAGGCCAGGCAGTGCGGATGGGCTGGCTGTGGGAGGCTGACCCCCAACCCCACCCCTTCTGCCCGAGGCTCAGCCCCTTCCGGGGGCCTGGAGCTGGGCCCCCATACCAGTAAGAGTTTAATATTACTTCCATCCCTGGAAATTCTGTACAATTGACTACCCCCCTCAAGGATGCACTAAAATTGAACAGTATAATGATGACATACATCAGAAAATCCATCTCCTGGGGAAAAAAGGCATTGGTCTATACCAGTGGTTCTCAAAGCCGGTCCGCCGCTTGTTCAGGGAAAGCCCCTGGCAGGCCGGGCCGGTTTGTTTACCTGCCGCATCCGCAGGCTCGGCCGATCGTGGCTCCCACTGGCCGCGGTTCGCTGCTACAGGCCAATGGGGGCTGCGGGAAGGGCGGCCAGCACATCCCTTGGCCTGCGCCGGCCGCTTCCTGCAGCCCCCCTTGGCCTGGAGCGGCGAACCACGGCCAGTGGGAGCCGCGATCGGCTGAACCTGTGGACGTGGCAGGTAAACAAACTGGCCAGGCCCACCAGGGGCTTTCTCTGAACAAGTGGCGGACCGGCTTTGAGAACCACTGGTCTATACCACTGGATGAAAGGAGAGATTTTTATATCAGATACTCCCTGACGCTCATTCATCCTAGCTATTCTGAATTTGAGAGCTCGTTTTTTTTTTACTTTTAAAATGTCATGGTAATATTCTATATTCCTTCCAAAGACAGTGCTGAAGGGGCCTCCAAACTCTCTTGCCTTCTAGGAATTTTAATTTTTCAGGATGTCTCTCTTTTTCCTTTTACTGCTTTAGTTTTTATATATATTTCTGAGTCCCCATATGTTATCCCTGGGTATATACTTAAAAAACCCTAGAAAACTCAAAGGCATTTTATCCTTTTATAAATGTGTTCCTTTTTAAAGTAATTTACACCTTGAATAAATTTCAAGATACTGTACCTTTTGTAATTGTTCTTTTTCCACTGTGGAAAGGATGAAAAATGGAGTAGTGCCTGGTACCTATGTTTCATTGCAGGGCTGGCTCTCTACAGCTTTGAGACTGGGTTGTTCCCATTTTGGCTTTATTCAGGGCCATAGGCCCAAGAATGGGTGATTGCCAACTACAGCTCAAAAGCTGGTCTCTCTCACCAGCAGAAGTTGGTCCAATAAAAGATATTACCTCACACACCTTGTCTCTCTAGCTACAGGTAAGTAATTTTCCCTTGGACGTTTCATAAATAGGTATTTTATTTTCTAAATCCTTCTTAATTTAGGGCTTTTCCACCTAGAAACGTAACAGCTCCTCCTGAACCAAACCCATTATTGGATATTATGTTTTCTGGTCATGTGAGTATAGTGCTCATGAAAGAGATTATATTTGATGGCAGTGAAATATGGAATATCCTGTTTATCTACTGTACAGATACACCAGGCAGTGGCAGTGCAAGTTTCTCTGCCCTATTCCACTAATGCACTTTCACCATGTTTTGGAGGGACCACATCTTAGGGTGCAAAGAGTAGCTCTATCTCCATTTTAATTCATTCCTTAGTTTCTACTGAGACTTCCAAGAAAGGTGCTGATTTGTGCCAGTTAAGATTAACAAGTAAAGGTAAGTATAATAAAGTCAATTAAACTATGCTGAGGAACCCAATGTATTTGTTTTGAATTTAAAAGTAATGGACAGTAATTTCTCTGTCGATGTATGTAGTATTTCCCCAATTGTCCTTGTATCCTATAATCCTTTTGATCAGGCAGGATTAGTCAGAACTCCCTTTGGAGAAGGTCAGTACCCTTTGTTAATTCACTGGCAGGATGAAAAGTTGAGTAATATGAAGTATTCCTTTCCAGAAGCTGATACACTTAATATTGCAGCATTGACAGCAATCAAAATCTTGTTTCCTCCATTGGATTGCAGAGCACTAGGCTGCCAGACCACTTTTACAGTCAATTTTAATCTACATTTTTCTGCGAAGGTATTAATCAGTATTATGGACTGAACACTCGGATAAAAGAGGGAAATAGGGAACTGTCACTGAAATATGTACATTAATTGGAGGGATGGTGTGAAATAATGCAACACTTTTGGCTAGAAAAATATGGACTATTCTTCCTTTCTGTAGGGACAATTGTCTCAAAGCCAACCATAATTTTTCTACCTTGTTATAGAGGACAGTTTTTAAAAGTGCTTTTTACTTGATACAGACTTTCCATATTTTGCAGACAGGTATCTTGAGCTGATGGCTCCCAAGAATCCCCCAATGCTAAAGGTAGAGACAATGAAAGACCACAGTAATGTGAGGGTCTGCTCATCGATGTCAGAGTGGTATCGCTCTTGCCAGGTGTCATTGATGAAGTTCTTGATGTACTAGAAAGAAAAATTGGGGTGGGGGGAGGAGTTTCATTACCAAATATCCTGATTATAAGTGTGATAATATGATAATATCCTGCACAAACCTTACTGAATTAAATTACCTCTACCCCGATATAACGCTGTCCTCGGGAGCCAAAAAATCTTACCGCGTTATAGGTGAAACTGCGTTATATTGAACTTGCTTTGATCCGCCAGAGTGTGCAGCCCTGCCCCTCCGGAGCACTGCTTTACCACGTTATATCCAAATTTGTGTTATATCGGGTCGCGTTATATCGGGGTAGAGGTGTACAACTTTATGTAATTAAGTTGAAGTATTTTAGGAGATCAGTGTATTAATGCAAATGTTTATGTACTATTGAGGGATTATATGTATTTTTATGGGGCTGGCGGACCACACCCAAGGAACTAAGCTAGGGGTCTCAAACACGCGGCCCGCGGGGCTCTTGTGTGTGGCCCGCCAAACTCCCCGCCCCTCTGCCTACCCGTGGGATTGCCTCCTGATGCGGCAAACGCCGGGCTGCTCTCTGAAGCAGCCGGCAGCACGCCCCTTCGGGCCAGGGGGAGGGGGAAGGAGGCAGAGGGCTCCGGCATTGCCTCCTTCCAGGCACCGCCCCCCACAGCACCCATTGGCCGGAAACAGGGAACCGTGGCCAATGGGAGCTTCGTGGGAGGTACCTAGAAGAGCAGCAAGAGCCGCACAAGCAGGGAAGCCTGAGCCCCTCCCCCAGGCAGGGCCGGCTTTAGGCCAATTCCACCAATTCCCCCAAATCAGGCCCCGCGCCTAAGAGGGCCCCGCGCCCAGTGGCAGGGCCGCCCAGAGTGCGGGGCAAGTGGCAGAGAATCCCTTCCCTGGCTAGAGGCGCCTTTTTAATTTTGACTCACCCGGCGGCGCTCCGGGTCTTCGGCAGCACTTCGGCGGCGGGTCCTTCAGTGCCGCCGAAGACCCGGAGCGAGTGAAGGACCCGCCGCCAAAGACTAGGAGCGCGGCACGGTGAGTACAATCCCCACGTGGTTTTTTTACGTGGGTTTTTTTTAGTCATCCCTGCCGGGGCCCCATTAAAACTGTTCGAATCGGGCCCCACGCTTCCTAAAGCCGGCCCTGCCCCCAGGGGCTGCAGGGACACAGTTCCAGCTGCTTTCTGGAACGGAGCAGCATGGAGCCGGGGCCAAGGCAGGCAGGGAGCCTGCCCTGGCCCCAGTGAGCGCCGCTGCCACCCCGGAGCCGCTCTAGGTAAGCAGCACCAGGCTGGAGCTTACACCCTGAACCCCTCCTGGACCCCCAACTCCCTGCCCTGAGCCCCCTGCCACATCCTGCACCCCCAACTCCCTGCCCTGAGCCCCCCGCCACATCCCACACCCCACCTGCACCCCCAACTCCCTGCCCTGAGCCCCCTGCCACATCCCGCACCCCAACTCCCTGCCCCGAGCCCCCTGCCACATCCCGCAGCCCTCCTGCACCCCCAACTCCCTGCCCTGAGCCCCCCACCACATCCCACACCTCAACTCCCTGCCCTGAGCCCCCTGCCACATCCCACACCCCGCCTGCACCCCCAACTCCCTGCCCTGAGCCCCCTGCCACATCCCACACCCCAAATCCCTGCCCTGAGCCCCCGCCACATCCCGCACCCCTCCTGCACCCCCAACTCCCTGCCCTGAGCCCCCTGCCACATCCCACA